GCAGTTGTGGAGTACTGCTCTCATGTGGCTTACGGATATTTTTGTAACTGTTTATGACAATACAAATAATGGAACATTTATAATTGATTACTGGTCAAATAGTTTGGTGGGATGCCTTCAAACCCGGACTGGTTGGTTGAACTGGTGACCAGACCTTGTTCCAGTCTGGATGACCCTCCGAACTAGACTATGCTCAAAATCGGCTTAGAATTTAAAAACCGGAAGAATCACCAGTTCAACCGGAATTACCGGTGAACGGGTCACGGGTTGACATAAGAACCGGCCGAGTTTGAAGAATTGAAGTTTCTTCTAAAAATATGTTATGGGGAAGACTTGAATATGGAACCAAGTGCATAAAAAGTAAGCACTCAAATTACTAAGCCATCATCACAATTGTTGACAATGTAATAAGTATATATACTATATACTCAATATTATCTTAATTATTTTTACTAAAAATCAATGTATAAAAAATGCAAAATGAATTTTAAGAAATTTTTTTTTTTGTAATTGTTTATTATTTATTATTTTTTGCAATTTTAATATCTATATTTTTTATACTTATAAATTTTAATATATTTATGATATAATTATGACATCACAGTTTAATTCTGCTTCACCCGCAGTTGAACTAATGATCCATCCACCCAGTTACTTTTTCTGTTCGCTCACCGGTTCGGTTTTCAAAACATTGGTTTGGTGGTTATAGGTCATGTTCTTAATTTGAAGTTTCTTAATAGTTATAGGTCAAGCAAGCTGTCTATATTGTTTGTTGCATGGTTTATAAACAAGTCCAAGCACATGGGCGGGCTGTATCTTTTTATATCCATTGTTAAGTTGCATATATAGAGTAAAAAATTTCCAGCACTTCAATTTATTTCGTTGCGAAAACATGGTCAAAATGGGCATGTTATCTTGGCTTACACTTCCCTTTGAGTGCAGGTGATTGAAGTTCACATTGTATAACCATAAAGACAGGTTAATGATGATCAAACCGAGGACTGTTGCAGAAAGTTGACATCGGTCCTGTTAATTCGTTGCCTCTCTCTCTCTCTCTCTCTCTCAAGATATGCATTTTGTACACATTTGTTCTTAAAATTCAAGGGTTTTTTTTTTCAATCAATGAGAATGTAATTATATGCATATAATTGAACATAAGGTACACTTGCTCTGTTTGATGTTGTTCTATTGATGTTTTTTTGGTTTCTATTGAATTAAATGGTACCTTAATTGAGGAAATAAAATACAATGGTAGCTTTGGTTTCTCGCACTGGAAGGCATTGACAGCATTACAACAAAGGTTCAATAGTCATCTTTCATTTTAAAACAAAACACTCATAAAGATAACTTATATTTTACATTTATAACGTCACTACCACATCATTCTTGTGGCGTTTTTTTGTATGAATAGAGTTTTCCTATCAAAATATAGTTAATTCATGTTGAAGTCCCACAGTCCACATGTTATCAGCAAAAAGAATAATATTAATGAGAGAGAAATAGGACTTTGATAATCCAGATTCGATGCAAAGTTATGCTTTAGGGATCTTGTTGTGTTCTATTATAGACTTCATCATATAGAGAGCTAGCTCTTAAGTACTACGTTTTTAACCTCTTTATCTGAAAGTGCACGTTATGATTGTTAGTTAATATACTCTCTTTCTTTATTGCTATGATCTGACATTAAAATTTAGATTCTTCATAATTTTGGTTTTGCAACATGTAAGTATCTTAAACTTTACTAGATCCACCACATCATGTTGGTTAAATTGGTTATAGGATGTGAGGAAGTTAGAATTGTATGGTGAATGTGAAGAGAAGAAAAAGAAAAGAAAAGAAAGACGAAGGAGATAATCGTGACATTTCAATTAATAGATTGGCTTTGAGAAAATTGTAGAGTAGGACTACTATTAGCTTTGTAAGTAACAAGATGACCTTGAGAAAGTCCCATGGCACGAATTATGCATTGTGACCAACAGGATGATCTTGGGCAAGTTCCCTTGCACAAATTTTGTTAAATCCTTTCCTATCATCTTTGTCAATAGGGTCTATGCTTCCTTCTTCAATGAAAGACATTGAGCCAAGTGAACTCTCACTTTGATACCACTTTTTTTTGGAATCAACACTTTGATACCACTTGATGCAGCAAAATACACGAGAAAGATCTATATTTGAACCCATTTCAGTTGTTCCAAAAATTCATTTCAATCTAATCCATTTGATCAAAAATCTGCCAAAACAAATAAAGTGCAAGTCTGGACAGCCTACAGATGGAAGCAAGGAAGAAGACTTCTAAGGATTAAGGCAAGAAGTTGATATCACAAGCATCACAGGGAATAGAGAAGTCTCGTGGAGCAGCAACTAGGGACGAAGGAGGATGGATACCAGTCTTGCATTAGAGACAGAGGAGGAGTAAGGGCAACCTGAGCTTACAAACACTTTTTGTGGATAATCTTCCTGAGTCTATGGATCCCAAAGGGCTCTATAATTTATTCACAAAGTTTGGTGTAGTCAAAGATGTGTTCATTCCATTCAAAAGAAGAAAAGCAACAAGATCAAGGTTTGGCTTTGTCTGCTACGACTGTCCAGTTGCAGCAAAAGTGGCTATACAGAAGGTAAATGGAGTATGGTGTGGTAATAGATCCTTAGTTGTAAAGACTGCTGAGTTTGGTAGAGAGCAGAATGAGGGATTTCAAAAAACATATAAGCAGAAGTTACAAGCCAAAGAAATTAATGGGATTGGGGAATGGATGCATGGAAAACCATCCTTTGCAGAGGTGGTGAGAGGTGGACAGCAACAAAAAGCAATTGAAAAGGTTGTTATAGCTAAGGAATATGGAAATGGTTGGCTACACCAAAGTGTTATTGGTACGCTCAAGAAACACTGTAATTTTACAGATTTCAGAAAGAGTATGGAAGAAGAAATTTGCAGGGTGTTCAAGTTCGAGAAGGTGGAGGCAGAGTAGTAGTTCTGTCTTTCAAATCAATTGAGGCATTTAGGAGTAGGAGGGAGGTACTTGGGGACTGGACTGAAGAGTGGTGTGAAGCCATGGTTGAATGGATGAAGGGTCTTATTCTTGATCAAGAAAGGGAGGTATGGCTACGATGCTATGGCATACCTCTTAATCTTTGGAATAACACAAACTTCAGAAGAATTGGGGAATTATGGGGTGAGGTGTTAGAGGTTGATGCGAACACCATGTCCCTGACAACCTTAGCCTGTGGTAAATTAAGAATCTTGACGAAGAGTATGGAGTTTATCAATACTAGTATCAAGTTGATTAATAAAGGGAATGTAAGTACAGTGAGGGTGATTGAAGAGCTAGGTTCAGGTCATGATCAGCAAAAGGAAGATTATTCATCAAACTACCAGTTCAGTGTAACAAAGAAGGAAGCTGGGAAGAGCAAGGAGGAGGTTGATGACGTGGTTAAATCAGAGAATGACGTGGCAGGCAATGATGAAGTGGAACTTGAAGTGGGCGACAACTACAGGGCAAGAGACGGCAGCAAAAGTAGTGTTGCGGCTGTATCTGTAGTAAATGAAACATGTAATGATGTGGTAGAACCAAGAGCAGTGGGTGCAGGTCTGGGAAATGAAAAAGGCATGCCCGAGGTCATAATTCAGAACACTAATATGGGAAGTCAAGAGGATACTAAGAGTGGGATGTCAGTGGGTTTCATGAAAAGTGTTAGCAGTCTTGATTTACAAAGGCCTAGCATTAATCTTGAAGTGGTGCTGGATCACGCCCAGTCCAAAGGGTTATCGGTGGGCCTGAATCAAGGCAGGATTGAATGGCATAAAAAGGTAGCCCAACCCACAAAGTCCTCTTCAGTAGATCAGTTGCCTTTAGTGGTAGTATCTGACCCTGTGGAAACATTTGGGCAACCTAATTAAAAAGTGAAAGACTTACAGCAAAAGAAGGTGATGTCTAAAAGTCAAGTTGAGCAGAGTAGAAACATGGGTGAAGTTAATCTGAGTCGTATGACACAAAGGAGAAAAAGACTGGGTCAAAATAAGGTGTGGTCAAAGTAGGGACTGTACAGAAGAGCTATGTTTAAAGCTGCAGCTGAGGCAATTTCATCTTCTTTATCACGTAATAGGAAAGATCAAAGAAGTATTTATCTAAGAAATGAAGCTATAGCTACAATACAGATTGGGAAAAATCTGGGGGTAGATTTCGAAGGTAAGGAAAATGAGGTGATTAAGAAAATTATCACAATGGAACAAAATGATTTGGCCCAGGTATTGAAGAGGAAGGAAGGAGTGGATGCTTGAAGAAGCATCTTAGGAGTACAAGGGGTAATAAGAATATTTTAATGAAGATAGTATCTTGGAATATAAGAGGGCTGGGAAGGTTGGAGAAGAGGAGGAGAGTAAAAGAGTTCATAAGGTAGAAAAAGGTAGATATGGTTCTTTTTCAAGAAACAAAAAGAACAGAGTTATCAGAGCAGTTTGTTAAATCTATGTGGCCTGAAGATCTGGTTGATTTTATGGCAGTAGATGCGGACGGTAGTGCTGGAGGATTGCTTTGTGTGTGGAAACCTGAGGTTTTTGAGCTAGTTGACTGATGCAGTAACAGGAACTGCATCATCCTCTCAGGTAAAATTCATCATGTAATTGATTGTGTGATTGTTAATGTTTATGCCCTAAATGATAGAATTATGAGAAGGAAACTTTGGGAGACTTTGGGCAATCTACAATCTAAGTTTCCTAAACCTTGGTGTATTGGAGGAGATTTTAATGAAATTAGATCATGGCTGAAATGAAAGGATGTATAAGAAGAGATAGGGGGATGATTGAGTTTGATGAATTTATTAATAATTTGGGGTTAATAGATGTTCCCATGATTGGGAGAAAGTATACATGGTGCAATTCACAAGAAGACGACAGGTGGAGTAGATTGGATAGATTTCTTGTAAGTCCAGATTGGCTAGAATGATTTTCATTTAAATTATGGGGCCTGTCACGATTGTCATCAGATCATTGCCCTCTAATCTTAATGGAAGATGATAGGGATTGGGGCCCTAAGCCATTCAGGTTCTTAAATGCTTGGATTCTTCATCCCACTTTCATGAAAAAGATTAAATTTGTATGGGTGAGCACACAGGTGGAGGGTTGGGCTGGGTATAGGCTAAAAATCAAATTGAAGTCCTTGAAAAAAGCATTGAAAGCATGGAACAATGAAGTATTTGGGAATGTTGAGTCCAAGCTCAAAGAAGTAGAGGATGCAACGCATGCACTAGATTTGACTACTGAAGAGAGACCGTTGCAAGAACATGAAGTTTTAAGTAGAAGAGAGATCAAAGGGGAGTTATGGAAGCTAAGAAAAATAAGGATTAGGTATGGATGTAGAAATCAAGGGTAAATTGGGCTCTCAAAGGTGACAGGAACACTAGGTATTTCCACATCATGGCTACTCAGAGACAGAGTAGGAATCTGATGGAATCCATCACAATCAAGGGTAACACCTATAATACACCTAAAGCTATGAAACAAGAAGTTGCAAGGTATTTTGGTGAAGCTTTTGCTGAGACTTGGTTGAGTAGACCTAAACTTAGAGGTGTATTTAAAATGATTGAACCCTTTCAAAATGAGTTGCTACTGAAGGATTTCTCTGAATCAAAAGTTAAGGCTATAATCAAAGAGGGTGACAGGAATAAAGCACCTGGGCCAGATGGATTTAATTTGATTTGTATTCAAAAGGGTTGGAATTTTATGAAATTTTATGAAAGATGATATAATGCAGTTTATGGCTGAGTTCCATGAGAATGGTCGGTTGGTGAAGGGATTGAATTGTTCCTTTGCAACATTAATTCCCAAGAAAGAATGTCCAACTAGTATCCTAGACTATAGACCGATCAGTCTTATAAACTCCATTTACAAGATTCTTTCGAAAGTCCTAGCCTGCAAATTAAAAATGGTGATTCCAAGTATCATTAGTCCAGCCCAATCGCAATCGACATTCCTAAGTGGAAGAAATATAGTTGATGGGATATTAGTGGCAAATGAGGTGGTAAATTGGTGGAAAAAATCCAAGAAAAGTGGGTTAATAATAAAACTGGACTTTGAAAAGGCTTATGATACAGTAAATTGGGAATACTTGTTTGATATGTTGAGGAAGTTTGGTTTTGAGACAAAATGGGTGGATTGGATGAGGATATGTTTATCGTCTGCTAGAATTTCATTTCTTGTTAATGGATCCCCTTCTGAAAAAGTGTTTCCCCAAAAAGGTTTGAGGCAAGGGGATCCAATTTCACCTTTTTTGTTCAGCATAACAGCTGAAGGTCCTAACATGTTGTTATCAAGAGCTAAAGAACTTAGATTGATAAGAGGGGTTACGGTTGGGGCTGATGGACTGAATTTATCTCATTTACAATTTGCGGATGACACAATCTTAATTTGTGAACCTGATTTGGTGGAAATCACAAATGTGAAGAGGATTCTAAGATGCTTTGACATAGTGTCTGGTCTTAAGATTGACTATCATAAAAGTGCTGTCAGTGGGGTGGGTATTGAAGAGGATATAGTGGCTGAATTTGCTTCAAGATTAAATTGCATAAGCCAAAAGCTCCCTTTTAAGTACTTAGGGTTGCCCTTAGGGGCTAATCCTAGTAAAAAGCAAACTTGGAAACCTGTGGTGGACAAGTTCAAATATAAATTAGCTGGTTGGAAGAGAAGAATGCTATCTTTTGCTAGTAGGGTGGTATTAATTAAATCAGTGCTGTCTAACCTTCCAGTTTACTACATGTCCCTGTTTAGAATGCCTCAAGGTATAGTAAAGGAACTAAATAAGATACAATCAGCTTTTCTTTGGGGTGGTTCTGATTTGAAGAGAATGATACATTTAGTAAAATGGAAGGATGTATCTGTGAGCAAGAAACTTGAGGGTTTGGGAATAAGGAACATTAGTCAGTTAATGAATGTTTATTAGCCAAATGGTGGTGGAGGTATGGGTCTAAAGATAATGCTTTATGGAAGATATTGATTTGCTCCAGGTATGGAGCTGAGGGTGGTAGATGGTCTCCTTTCTTTATGAATAATTTTACTTGCTCAAGGATTTGGAGCAATATCTAATCAGTGGCACAATCTAATCCCAAGATTTTTGATTTTTTTAAGGAGAATGTTGAAATCAAAGTTAGGAATGGTAGAAGGATTATGTTTTGGGAGGATGCCTGGAAGGGTAGTTATTGTCTTAAAGACAAATATCCGAGATTATTTAGTATTTCTATTGATAAAGGGGTAACATTGAAAAAGATGATAGACAGAAAAGATAGCTTGGCTGATTGGATTCTCAGGTTTCGAAGAAATTTAAGGATTTGGGAAGATGAGGAATTGAGAATTTTGAAGGATGAATTAGGATCTGGTCCAAGTCTCTGTTTGTTCAATTTGGATAGCATCAGTTGGAAGGAGGGCAGTTCAGGGTGCTTCAGTGCAAAAGCAGCCTATAATTGGTGTGAGCTGAGTTATGGTCCTATAAAAAAGCTTATATGGATTAATCTGGAACAATGTTGCTACTCCAAAATCTTAGTTTTTTGCTTGGTTGGTCTGGAAAAGGAGAATAAAGTCATTTGATTTGTTGCAAAAGATTGGGGTTGTTGAGTCTAATGGGGGGCCAAGCTGTGTTCTATGTAGATCAGGGAAGGAATCTTTAAATCATATAATGTTACATTGTCCCTTTTCTTGGAAAGTATGGTCCAGTATCATCAAAGGGTGGGGAGTGAAGTGGATTATTCCTGACATAGTGGAACGCCTATTTCAGTGGTGGAATGGATGGAAGTTTAAGAAAGGGGAAACGCAGATTTGGAAAGCAATACCATTAGCGGTGTTGTGGTCAGTATGGAAGCACAGAAATGATGTAATTTTCAATAAGGTGCAACCCAACATGGAAGAGCTCTATGAACTTATTAAGGTTAGAGTAGCCATATAGTTGAAGTCAACTTTGGTGGGAAGAGATTACTCAATTAATCAATTCTCTTCAAACCTGCAATAGATCAGGTTGTGTATCAAGTGAGTGGGCAATTGTGGGCTGCTGTTGATCTATGTGGGCAATATGGATTGCAAGTGGGCTGTTAATTTTGGGAAGATGTGCTATGCTTTGGTTTGATGATCTGTCTTGCTTTTGGTCTACTGTTGGTCTGATGTTAGTTTGTTGGTGGATTGCTATGTTGGACTGCTATGTTGTGTTACTGCTGGTCTGGGGGGGCAAGCTGGCTATAAGTACTAGCTGCAAGTCCTGGATGGTGTTTTGTTGGTAATCTGTCTTTCTGAGTTGATGATCTGATAGGCTAGGCTTAGTAGTGGGCTGTTAATTTTGGGTTAATGTGTTATGCTATGGTTTGATGTCCTGTTCAGCTTTAGGTCTGCTGTTGGTCTGATGTTGGACTGCTGTTTGATTTGTTTGGATCTATTGGTCTGATGGTGGATTGTTGGTGGACTGATAGTAAGTTGGTGTTATGGGCTGCTGTTTGTGGTTGATTGGACTCATAGGCTTATCCGTTGTGTGCTATGGGCTGCTATAGACCCATAGGCTTATCTGTTTTGTCTGCTGTTTATGGTTGACTTTGTTTTGTGCTATGGGCTGCTATGGACTCACAGGCTTATCTGTTTTGTCTGCTATTTGTGGTTGACTCTAGGCTGCTAGTATGCTGTGGTTGAATCTGTTGTGTGATTCTGGGCTGATAGCAAAGGTTCAAGTATGCATTATGATTTGGTTTTGGCTAAGGTTCAAGTATGCTAAGGTCAGCTACTGGTCTGATGGGTTTAATCAAATTGGAGCTGCTGCGTAGTGGTAATATTGGAATGATGGTTCTACTCAAATGCAAGCCTTGGTGGCTGTTAAAAGTTGGCTCAGCAGTGGTGTATGCTGCTATTGTATGATGCTACTGCTGGAGTCTCAATGATTTGGAGCTGCTTGTGCATTGGTTTGCTGTATAGGTGAAGCAGTGGGCGTGTCAAGTTCTGAGATGCTGCAAGGATTTCTGCATATCTTCACTAGTTAGCTCATCAGATGCTTGTAGGAATGGTGGATGAATCTGTCCAGTTGTTTTGTTTTGACAACACCAGTTGGTTCTCTTATGTGTGTTGCTGCCGGGCTGGGTGGCTTATGCTTGGATGCCCAAATCTGTTCTGATTTTGTTCTGTTCTGAGTTACTGATTTGTTTTATTCTGAGTCTTGTTGCTGAGTTGAATTGGTGCTGATCTGGGTTCAATTGGTGTTGCAACTTGGAAGTTGGAGTTGAACCCCTAATTAAGATCAAAGGAAGCATACTTGGGAATCCACTAACACATGAGCATGATGATCAGCTTGCACTTATATCAAATGGACTTTTTGAGTCAACAAAAACAAACTGTCATGGTGAGTTTTGGATGTAGATCCCAACAATGCACCATGTACAAAGGATCTTCAACACCACGTACTGTTAATATGCTGAACAAATGCTCCAGCAGAGAGGTTTATGGATGAATGGTCTTCAAAGGTTGTTAGGCTGGGCTGCTGAGTTTGTAGTTTTTTTTGGTTGCTACTATTTGTTTGTTTTTGGTTTCTGCTCTGCATGTTGGTTACTCACCAACTTAGAGCTTGGAGTTTGTGCTAGCAGATGATTTCATGTGCATCTAGGTGCCAACCTAGTTGGGATCTGGATGTTTCACTACGATGCTTTTTGCATCCTCCTCTTTATTGATGTACGTTATCATACTCTGTATGTTTTTCTATCAATAAAGTTTTTTTACTGATCAAAAAAAAAAGAAGATATCATTATGGCAAACAAATGGATTCTCAAATCTACGAGAATGATATAATTTTAAATTCACAAGGATAAGAAAACTCAATATATTGATAAGAAATTAACTTAAACTAGGAAGCTTTACAATTCAAAGTTTTTTCATACTAAAATTACTGGCTTTCAAATAACCTAAATACTCTCAAAATAATAATAATAAAAATATAGTACCATTTTAAATCTTCTCCTACTACATCATAATGTTTTTGTTGTGAAGACAGATGGGACTTGCGCAAGAGCCACTAATGGAATCACTGTCCCTAATCATGTTGTTGAAGTGCTACCCATCATAGCAATGTGTGCTTGATTAAAAGAACTGGTCTACCTATACATATGGCCACATCAATCCAACTATTTTTTCATGAAAATGGGATACGATATCAAAGTTGTAATATAGCATGTATTTTGAGTGTTTGGTATAGTGTTTGGCAATATAGAATGTATTTTGAGTGTTTGGTAATGTGTTGGGATCTTATTGTAAACTTTTTTATATTTTTTTGATGGTCAGTCTGTGCAAAAATGGAACCCAAACAACTATAGATTTGTGTTGTTCATCACTGCACTAATCCTCATCCCACGAAAACTAAATCCCAGAATAAACTGGGCTTTTCTCCTCCCCTCCACAAGCCACTTGCCCAAAGCTGCCTGATAACAGACAGGCACAGCTAAATTGTATAAATAAAATGATCGGTAGATTTATATCCAATAAACATATTCAAACAGGCAAACAAAAAATAGTGTATATATATAGTTCGTCATCAGTGGATCTCCAAAGGACTTTGGAGATTAGTTGGGGGGAAAATTACGGCAATGATATACTCAATGCACCAAGTATAAATGAAGATATTATAGCAGACATACACATTCACTAAAATCAACAACAAAAGGAACTAAATCCCAAGAGGATAGGCATAGTTTACCAACACTAGATTAAGTTAAAAAGTTTTATCTAGCCATTCAAGTGAAATAACAGCTAACAAGTCCATCTTTTGAGTCAAAAAAAGTAAACGACATTCCTAGTCCAATCAGCAACTAGGCTCCCCCCATCTTTCCACTGTGCTGTGCGGCAAATCATCTTCAAATCAGCTATTCAACTGCTTAGAACAATGATAAAATAAAGCCAATAAGAAAGATAAGTTCACATTAGACATCTATTTTCCTTTTTATCTTATTTTTTGAATAGTTTAATCATCTCATAATTTAAGACAGATTTTTTCAGCTTGGCATCAACTTAGATGACACTTTCTAGAAAGCACGGATACAGATATGGCATAAGGTATGATACAATAGGTATACACGGATATGGAGTGGGCAAGAGAAGGTGTAGTAAACACAAACTCGGATGGAGGAGCAATTTGAGCAACCTTGAACGGGTCTCCTCTGCAAAAAGTTCTCTCTCTCACGCACACACACGAACACACATAGGCGCATAGAAACACACTTTGTCTACTTCAAAAAATGGAGAACTTTTCTCATCTTGAGAGAATGGGCAGAGAACTCAAATACTACATCTGGTAATTTCCACAGACAAGCACACATTTATACGCTTACAAATATGTGCGAAGTATCTACATTTCTATATTTCATATTGAAATTTTTTGGCATCTAAACATGTAACCATATATATATATATTTTATTCGTGTTAAAGTTGATGTATAGAGAAATAGAGAGAATGAATTATGTATTGATAATATTGTACAATGGTTCAGGGGCTCCTTATAAAGGAGAAGTTTACAAACAATGCACCCAAAAGCAACCGAAAGCAAAGACATCATGATTACAGCTTGGACACTTTACAGCTAATAACATATAATACATTAACAGCCCCCTCAAACTCAAGGAGGATAGGAACTAACCAACTTGAGTTTGAAGAGAGTAACAAAACGTGAAAATAAACTGACAAATAAAAGAAAATAGGATAAGAAACACTGTATGGTCGTGTCAGACCGTTGGTGAAGACACTGTATGGTCGTGTCGAACCGTTGTAGAAGCTAACCGGCAATCAATGTCGGGACAGTTTACGGGGACATGCCGGACCGTTGTAAAAGCTAACCGGAATCAATGTCGGGACAGTTTATGGGGTCATGCCGGACCGTTGTAAAAGCTAACCGGAATCAATGTCGGGACAGTTTATGGGGTCATGCCGGACCGTTGTAAAAGCTAACCGGAATCAATGTCGGGACAGTTTATGGGGTCATGCCGGACCGTTGTAAAAGCTAACCGGAATCAATGTCGGGACAGTTTATGGGGGAGAGCCCAAAAGATATATATATATATATATATCGTACCCTCAAAAGTCGTGCCCAATCTATCAAAAGGCGTGCCATCAAAAGGCGTGCCCAACAGAAATCGTCGAGCAGCGAGCCATCAAAAGGGGCGCCGGACACGCGACAATGCACGTGACCGACAGAGTGTTGTGTCGTCCTTTTCGACATTGTCTATATAAACCAAAACGAAGCCTGAGGCTTGGAAGCAGAACAAACCAGTTGAAACCTCTTCGTTCTCTGAGAGCTTTTCTCTAAGAGCTGCAAACCCTGAAACACTCTGTAACATCTGAAACACTCAGCAACCCATAACATGGCCTCTTCTTCCCGTTCAGCTACCCAGAACATGGCCTCTTCTTCCCGTGGTCTGCTCACTCTCTTTCCCGACCTCAACGAGTCCACAAGAGAGATAACCGATGCGGTGGCCCTTGAACCTCAACCAATCGCCCCTGGTTTTGCTCCGTTGACCTTTCCTATGCGGTCTGTGGAGCAAATAATGGCAGCGCAATCGGATATTAAGGCCAATCAGTATACATTGAAGTCATGTGTGGAGACCATGACTGCAGTCACAAACTTGTCGCACCGGTTTCAGAGTAGAACAAATGAGGTGCAGCAGTTAAACGCCCAACTGGCTCTGCTCCAGCGCATGTATAAGGATGCGCGAGCAGAAATAAAAATAGAACAAGTGAGGTACAGCAGTTAAATGCCCAACTGGCTCTGCTCCAGCGCATGTATAAGGATGCGCAAGCAGAGATATGTCTGCTGAAGGTGGAAAACAAAGAGCTGAAACGGAAGGCCACCGTTATGTTCCGATTCGGAGGGCCGCCATATGCTGCGATTGAGGAGCAGCGAGGAGGCAACTTGCTTGGTGGTCTAGGAAGCACGGAGGCTAGGCAGTCACGGGACACCCAAGATAAAAGCAAGAAGAAGAAACCGGCAGCAGAGTAGAGAAGGGAAAGAAAAATCCCGCCTGTGGGTGTGGTTGTTTATGTATTTGTTTGTTTGTTTTTTTTGTGGTGTTGTAGAACTGTGAACGGAGTTGAGCCCCGATATGAATAAAACAATGGTGTTTGGCAAACCGAATGGCATGAATGGTACAAGTTGAGTAGAAAATCAGTTGGCGGGAATGTTTTATATATATATATATATATTTTAATGTGGAATGGAAAAAAAGTAAGAAAAAAAAAAAAGGTTGAGCACCTCTGTAAAATCTGAATTTGGACAAAAGTGGGTGGATGGTATGGTGCAGAGTGGCATGTATTGGTGCCTGGCACCCTGTCCGAGAAGCATGCACTGGTGGGGCAAAAGTGGGTGGTGGATGTTTTGGGATAATATTTTATAATAGCATTGGAAGCTTTGTTGTGTTGTGTTTGGTGGTTGCTAAATTGATGGGCTAACATATGTCGATATAATATATGATAACAGCATGGGTGGGGAACATGGGTTTGATTAAAGAAATAGCTATGATCAACATGGCAAGCAATGGCCCACCAAAAAGAGGTAACCCAGAGTCCAATTCTTTTCCCTTGGCATCTCCAAGTGCGAGCAATGCCGGTGAATCTTGTTACAACGAGGGAGTTGGTAATCTGGGTTGAAAGTCAAGCCAAGAAGAGAGAGGGAGAGCCGTGTGTTGCTCTGTGGTCATGCATGGCGACCGAGAGAGAGAGTTGATGAATGTATAGTTTGATCAGGCCTCAACACTCTCTGAGGAATCAAGCAACTTTAACTATAGAAGATCTACACAAAAAACAAACCAAGAAATTTGATCATCTTGTTCTTGGACCTGCTCCTGGTGAGTTTTCAGAGGTCACCGACGCATTCGACTGACGGCGTGACGCTGAGATTTCATCGGTCTTGGAAGGGAAGGTCTTGAGATTGAGCTCTGAGGTTTGTTGTTTCAGCTCCTTCACGCGTTGAATCACTTTTGCAAGCAGCGAAGCTTTGTCTGTCTTGGAATTGCAGGGAAGGAGAGTTCGGAGTTTATCGAGATGGGAATTGATCTTTTGATGACGGCGTTTCTCAACTTCTTTGTGATTCTTGGAAGCAACCAGAGCACGTTCCTCTGCAGTAGTAGTAGTAGTGTCGTAAGAATTGAAAATTGTGACTTAAGATGGAGAAATGCTTGGAGAGCAGATCTGCCAATCTGGCATTGTCGACGGCGCAGACGGTGATGGTCCTCCGGCTGTGACCGGATCTGGTGATGTGATAGTGAAGTGTTGTTGAAGAATCTGCCATTGAAGAAGAAATTAAGGAAATTTGGGTTTGTCCGGCGGGCGGCCAAGGCGAGGTTGCCGCCCGCCGGTGAAGCGGAATTACTAAGTTGTTAACCTAGCTCTGATACCATGTTAAAGTTGATGTATAGAGAAATAGAGAGAATGAATTATGTATTGATAATATTGTACAATGGTTCAGGGGCTCCTTATAAAGGAGAAGTTTACAAACAATGCACCCAAAAGCAACCGAAAGTAAAGACATCATGATTACAGCTTGGACACTTTACAGCTAATAACATATAATACATTAACAATTCGTACATATAAAGATCCATCTTCTTTTCTTTTTTTTTGTCAAGCTGGTTGATGCACAGCATAAGAACCTCTAGGAAGAGTACGGTAATATTTGAAAATTGACATGACTTTAAAGAGAAATCGATAGTAATCACACAAAATCATATTTATAGTGTTAGGGAAAAGCTTGGTAGCTCGAAATTCGTAGCTCAAATGGCCCGAATTTGATAGAAAGTGTTGGCAACCACTCTCTCTCCAACACCCACTCTAAAAACAAAGGAAAATGAGTAGGAATACTAATTAGTGCTACTACTAATGATGTGGCAGTAGGCTCCACCATGAATGATTTGATATTTTAACCTTAATGTTATATTTTTTTCTTTTTTTATTGAGTGCCATATCATTAATAGTCTTTTTAAAACTCCAAAATTAGTGGTTTCTATCTTTATTGAAAAACAAAATCACGCCTGTTTTCTCTCCTCCCTATCTCTGTCAGACAAGACCCAAGAAAGCTGTGATAATTGTTCTCTCTCTCTCTCTTCAAAACGCACTTCTCATCCCTCTTCTTCGCCCACACCTGACACATCTCAACCGGAGCCGACACATCTCAACTGACGCCAGAGATTTGGTTAGTTACTCATTATCGACTAGAACAACAAGAATCTCAGGTAAACCCGATATTGCAAAACTAGGGCTTTTGTTTTGATTTCAATTTCTGAAGGGTTTTTGTTTTGATTTCAATTTTCTGTACAAAATCATAAATTGTGACTGTTTGGGTTTGGATTTTGCCTTTAATTTTTGAAACTAGGGTTTTTACTTTCTATCTCTAGCCTGCTAGCTCTGTAAATTGGAATGTGATCTATAAAATAGGAATTTGATTCTTCCAATACCATTTCTACAAGTACCCATTTGGTGAATTTGGTTTTTCTTTGGAGAATTTAAGCAAACATTTGATGCTCTCCAGGGTTCTATCAACACCCAATTTAGGAGCACTGGTTTTTCTTGTATAATTCAAGTAGAATTTGATGCTTTCTGGTCCTGTTTTGGGTAACCCTTAAAAGGTCCATGCAACTACCTTTGTTTGGGTTTTTGTGCTTTTGATTCATATCTTCAACTTCTAACAACTGGTATATTTCCATGTCAAGAGTTCTTTAGACTCGATTATTTCCTAGTTTGAATCTTAATTTGTTCTCATCATTTGTGTGTCAAATTAAGAGATTCGAATAATTATTTTCTAGTTTGAATCTTATAGCATATTATTATATTCAAATGTGCTTTAGACTCCATTAGAACAAGTTTCTGAAATTTTCACTCATATTGAGCATATTTCAATTGGAAGGCATCATAGTTTTCCTTTTTGGGGTCTTAAATCTTTATATATATATATATATTTTTTTTTCTTTTGAGGGTTGAAATAAAACTGAAATGTTCAAAGTAAACATTGATGATAAAGAATGCTTACCTTTCTTACCTTAAGTGCTTGACCAATAGATAAGCTGCTGGGTTCAAAGTTCTGTATAAATTTGTGTTTGACACTGTAATTCCATGACTTCTGTATAATTTTGTGGATGCTATTTAGTAATTCCAAGGTTTGGTCATTAGTAAATTCAGTTCTAGCTTGTTAAGGGATTTGAAATCCTAAGGAATTTTGAAATCTAAATTCAATTCTAGTATTTCACAATAGAAGTTTACAATGGAATAATGCATACTCTGGGTTTGAACATGCAGGTTAGAAGGCCAAGTGCACTCAGTCAAACATCTAGCATGCCAATGCCAAGGCAAAGGCCTACTCCATCAAGCAAGGCAGTGCCAAATTCACCCAAATTCCAGTCAGTCAAGCAGGGGTAGTAGGCTAGTGCCCACTCACCCACATTCCAATCAACCAAGGGTAGCAGCCCAAGAATTTTTCTTTTCTTTTGTTTGTGTATCAAGGGTAACAGAGAAAGACAATTGCTTTTGTGGGCTTTTGTTTTGTGGGCTGTTACTGTTGCTATTTTATATGATCAATAGAATGTTAGTTTATATTGTTACTATTTTTTTTTGTCATTGCCAATGGTTTATCTATGATGAATTTGTTTAATTTAGTTGGTGTTTAGTTGTCAATACATGTTCATTTTCATGTCACATAACTTTACATTACAAATTACCTGCTTCTTTTCATTACATTAGAAAACATTTTGTGTTTAATTGATTATGTTAGTTTTTCATTCCACATTTCAACCAAAGCATCACAAAAAAGAAAAAGAAAAAAAGAGCATAACATAATAAACAGTTGGAAAAATGGTTTTATATAGGCATATTTTTTAGCCCAATTTGGGTGGACCCCAAACGTCTTTTGGGGTGGGTCCAAAGAGGTGAAGTGTTCCTTGCCGCGTGGTAAGTCACACGGCGAAGACGGAACGTCAAAACCATTTATGATTGAATGGGAAGTTGACATCGTTTTCGAGTCTAACATTAATTTTTATTTGATAAAATTCTTTTGAATTTTTTCAATTAAAATATTATTGTGGGAATTTAATTTAATTCTAAATTCAAATTTTGGGTTCCTGAGTGGTTTCCTAAAGTTTGTAATTGTGGGAATTTTATTTTAATTCTAAATTCAAATTTTGAATTCCTAAGTGATTTTCTAAAGTGTGTACCTCTTTATTTATTTATTTATTAATCTATTCATATATATATATATATATATATTCAAATACTTTAATATATATATATATATATTTCTAATAGATATTTAATAGAGTTCCAAAACTGTTCATGTGTTGCGTTTGTCCAACGGACACTTTTTTGAAATATTGGAACAACCATCAGATTTATTTGAACCTTACGTATGCACCTGTTCTTTAAAATAATGCATCCGTTCATTTAAATTTGTTGCACCTGTTCAGGGGCTTTATTTGCCTATATATACAAATCTTTTTCAGCAGTCCAGGGATCCGAAAAAAAATCAGTCTGTATATCTGATTTTGCAGTCCGAAAAATAGTTTGATATTTTGTCTTATTGTTGTCCAATTTTTCTCTAGTGCATTTATTCTTCATATCTAGTTTTAGAATAAATTAAAGAGAGTATAGATCACAGGTTTGGTTCGCCGAACAAATTGTTTGGAGTACTACTACAATTTGTGAAGATCATTGTATCCTGGGAGATAGACGCCACTCAATCGTAAGCACCGTAGCGGGGCGAATCTGTCTTAAGGACAGAGTGTCACACACTCGACTTGGTCTTAAATTTTTGATTCGGTTCAACGAAATAAATTCTGTAAGATTTATTTTATTTTGTTTGATTTATTTTCAGTTTATTTTATTTTACACAGAAGATTGTTCCAACATAAATAATCTTTTATATGAAGGATCTAGGGTAGAAACACACCCTAAGTGGATCAAATCTAAGAAAGAAGGTGAGTAGGGAGAGAGAGAAGTCGGACCTAGGGTTTGGAATCAAAAGAAAATGAAAAAGACTGATCAAATCCCGCTGCTGTGTATTTAAACTGGACAGGCTCGCTCGAGCGAAGACTTGGTCGCTCGAGCGACCAGACACAGAGAAACTACGCTCGAGCCAAGGAAGCCTTGCTCGAGCCAACAACTCAAATGCTCGCTCGAGCGAAAGAAAGCTCGGTCGAGCGAAGAACTCAAACCCTCAGGTCTGAACCCAGACACACGCTCGAGCGAAGGAACTATAGCTCGAGCGAAGGATGAACTAACTCGCTCGAGCGAAGAAAAGCTCGCTCGAGCCAAGAATGCACAGCTACAGGTCCAAATCAAACACTACCTCTCGCTCGAGCGAACAACTCCTCGCTCGAGCGAAGAACCAAAAACCTGGACAGCAACTCTTGTTTTCTAAACCCAACCAACCTGAAACAAACCTGCCCAACACATCCTATAATTCCAAATGAGAAAAAAAATAAGGGACAACAACAACAATTATACAATGACAGAATCTACGGAACCTAAGTCCGGATACTATAATCAAATGGGAAAAGACCGGGGTCGCTATAGTCAACACTATTGCCATGTGGTCGTATTAATGTGACTTAGATGGATTCTGAAATGTGATGAAAAAGCAAAGCATCTAAGTCGCGCTGCACAAAGTCACATGCATCACTGCATGTGACGAAAAAAGTCATAAAGTATATAACTGACAAAGTCAGAAAGTCACATGCATCACTGCATCACTGAATCACTGCATGAAGTCACATGCATCGCTGTATCACTGCACAAAGTCACATGCATCACTGCATTACTGCACAAAGTCACATGCATCACATGCATCACTGCATCTGAGGAAAAAAAGTCACATGCATCCCTGCATCGCTGCAGAAAGTTACATAGCATCTGAGGAAAAAACACAGCATACAATTTATTACGTCTGTTAAAGTCTTTGCATCACTGATGAATGTTTGACATATTACTGTGCCGAGCTACAATTTATTATCATACCATAGCTATTGTGCCCATGTGAATTTTTGCAATTCATAATGGGATGAGGGGGTGCCAGAACAAAACAATAAAACAATTAGACCCTTTGTGTTTAAAAAGTTACCCTATGCAACTCCAAATAGATTCATAAACCTTGAAGATAAAATATTATAGAGATATAATGTATTGAAGATTAATTTGTAGTAGAGTTAGAATGAATGGGTTTTTTGATGTATAGAACTTGAAAGTGTTACAGATAAAAGCTAACCTAGTATGCAGACAAGAACAACACCGACTTAAATCAACACATAGTTAACTTCAAATTAAATTGGTCAAATTTCTTCAATTAAATTAAATGAAATATGTAAGGTGAAAAGTGAAATTAAATATATTGTCACGGCAAAATAAATTGAATTATATTTGTAAGTGAAAAAATGAAATTAAATTTCTAAGCAGATTTGAACTTTGTTTAAAAGTCGAAATTAAATTGCATAAAGTCGAAGTGACAACTCGTATAAAGTTGATGCATAGTTGTTCAGGTCATAAAAGTTGACATGACAACTCTGATGCATAGTTGTTTACAATAAGTTCAAACTTACAGCTACCATGTGTATATGTGGTATAAATATCGCATCATACCACAACAAAATTTTTATAGCTATTTCGAGCGATGTCGTCATGAGATATACGGTGGTTGATCTATATTCAGCAATGGGTTGCTATTGGGTTGCAGATGGAGATAAATTTCAATACCCATTAAATCCAAATTTGCGTTACTCACATGCCGCCATCAATACCATGAGAGCTGAGTGGGAATTTTGCATAACTCGAGCAAACGTTCTCGTTGAGCTATGTCATGAAGTTAATATTAAATTTCCTCGCCGGTTAGCCATGCGTATGCCAACTGACACTCCACAGTTGTTACAAAGGGCATTGCATCGTATCTACGATGAAGTTAATCGCATGACCCAACGTTTGCAAAGGTCCGAACTAATGAAGACTGCAAATGAGCGTTCCGAAGATGGGTTAATGGATGATGCACACCAGTACTTCGCCTGGAGCATGGATGTTATGTATGAATCTGATATTAAGATGTCAGATGATGATGATAATGAATGAAATTGTTTGGATGAATGACCAAACCATTTATCTTGTAATGGATTTGTAATGCTTATCTACGACTTATCAATGAAGGGAGAAATTTCAATAGTTTTTGAATAGTTCTTGTAATTCTACAAATAACAAATACCTTTGCTTTCTCTCCGTTATTGTTATTCTGAAGAACGCTACTTGAACTAGGATTTCATGATTTCATGCATTATTGATGCGGAATATAATGATGATACTGAATGAACTTGGTTGCATGTATGATGAAACGTTTTCATTCAGTATAATGGCTTTGCAATGCTTATACATGAGTTATCAATAGGAAGAGAAATTCGTAACGAATCTTGACATGTGTACTTATAAATGTAGTGATTTCATAAACTTCAGGTTCATATAACAAATAGTTGAAATACATCCGTAAGCTAAATGAACAACAACATTGTCTTACACTCTAGTAACAAAGATACAACACAACATAGAACATTGTTTACGACATTATTTCGCTCAATCACTGTCAATTCTCTGTTGCTTGCTTCTGCATTTCGGTGGCTAGCTGAAGCATGAAATGTCCACATGCATTACTGCATCATTGCACAAAGTCGCATGCATCACTGCATCACTGCACAAAGTCACATGCATCACATGTACCACTGTATCTGAGGAAAAAAATCACATGCATCACTGCATCGCTGCACAAAGTCATATAGCATCTGAGGAAAAAACAAAGCATACAAATTATTACGTCTGTTCAAGTCACTAGCGAGCATCACTGACAAATGTTGGACGTATCACTGCGCCGAGCTACAATTTATTATCGTACCATAGCTATTGTGCCCATGTGAATTTCTGCAATTCATAATGGGATGAGGGGGTGTCAGAACAAAACAACAAAACAA